TGTGGCTTTTTATTAAATCGATTGCCATATCCATGCTAGTACTTGAATCTTCTTGTGATTTTTCTGTTAGTTCTTTTTGTATAGCTTGTTTTGTATAAATTAAAATTTCTGTTACATACCCTAATAGAATATGTTCCTCAATTAAGAGTTTTTTGGCCTAATCTTTTTTAATTTTTGCTCACTTATAACTATCTATTGCCCCTTGCAATACTATAATAAATTTAGAGTTCTCATACTCCAGGTATTTTGCTATATTCTTATCTATTTTTAGTATAAGCAGACTATGCTTTTTATAAATCTTTTATAATTCTAATTGAGATCTTAAAGCAAAGTCTTTAATCAATTCTATTTTCATATTTCTTTTTCAATACTTGTGTTATTGCTGTTGATGCAAATTCTATTCGATTATTCTAGAATATATACTAACAAAAATACTGTCTATATTTGTAATACATGTTTGTTTATTTGCTTGTTTGTTTACCTGATCAGCTTTCAGTTTGTTTATTTATTGTTTACGTGTTTGTTTTGTTACACAAGAAGATCTGCAGTACAGGGTTTTGTTGTTTCTCTAAAAAAAGATTTCAAGTTGTTGAAAAAGTTCGTAAAAATATTTTTACTCTACCAAGTACTTCTTCAGTAATCTAGCCATTCTATTACTTTAGACTTGTTTTATAAATTTGCTTTGTCAGTTTCTTTTAAACTGCAAGTTTTGCTTCTGTCTAAATTCAAATCTAAAGATCAGCAGAGAGAGTTGAATATGATTAAAATATTTAATTTTTCGAAAATATAAATTTTATTAATATTCAAATAATTTTAATTATTTTAATCTTATTTAATTTTAATCGAATTAGTTTAAAATATTTCTTTTATAATATTGCGCAAAATATTACAAAATATTTTGCAATATCTTACATTATATTTCATAATAATCTTGTATAATATTTCATATTTATATTTTACAATATTGTATAATTTTTTGTATAATATTATACCTTTTTTACTTAGTATAATTTATTGCACAATATTACACTCTATTAAATTTGCTAATAAATAATTGTGCCCTGGTCAATTCGAGTACTGATAATTACCCGGTTTGGGTTCATCCAGATCATATATATAACCAGTTGTATTTATACACCCGGTTGAATATTCTTCAAATTTAGACCCGGATTTATTTACAATTCGGGTGGACCCGGGTTTAAAACCGGGTTGATACATCCGGTTCCAACTGAAAATTATGGAATTTAATTGGCTAATTTTCACATGCAGATCTGCGAATTTTAACCAATCAGATAAACTTTCCGCATATGAACTAACTAGCCCACATGTCTTCCCAAGTTAGAACTTGTTTTAATCGCAACAATGACCAGCAACGATGTACGAGACATCCTCGAACTTCACTCAAAAACTTCAAATTCAACGGACATTCCTACACCGAGTAAAAAAACAAACAAGTCAGAAAAAGAAAAGAAGCCTGGTTAGTACTCTATTAACCGAAATTTTTAGTTTGATATCGAATTTTGAAATTAATGTCAAGCTTCAGAAAATTACTATTTAGATTGTACTGTAGCTTGTCATTAAAATTATTTTAATCCAGCATGAATCTTAAATACTTTTAGTTATATTATATGCATATATTTTTGTTTTTAAATAGATGGAATACCTCGAGAACTTTTTCAGTTAATAGGTGGTCCACCTCCAATAGCTTTTGTAAAGCCTGCTTTTAAAGCAAAACCGAATTTGCGTAAAAAGGCCGTTCATTGGTAATTAAACTTCCATCTTTAATTATAGAACTATAATATAATTGATAAGATTTTAATTGAGAAGATTTAGATATAGAATCCGTTTCGAATTACCGTTCATTAATAATTGTAACATAACTTGATAAAGGGAATGGCAAAGTTTTACTAATCAAGGGCGAGGTGAGGATGATCAGTTAACACTACATCACTGGGTCAAATGCACACCTACTTCCGAATCTGAAGATTCAGGTAACTACATCTTTTTTTTTCTTAACAGTAGTTAATTTTAATTAATTTTAATTCTTGTTCACGTTATTTCAGGATATTGGTTTGCCGAGTATAACAAAAAAATTGACATCTTGAAATATGATGATGAAGAATATGAAAAATATTTAACGGGTATTAGTCAAAAATATTTTCACATATAATTTATTTTCTCAATCATGGTAGTAAAATGATACATATAAAATTTCTAGATAAAGATTGGACTAAAGAGGAGACAGATTACTTATTTAAACTGTGTGACAAATACGATCTTCGTTTCATAGTTATTCATGATCGTTACGAATATAAGGAGCGATCTATTGAAGTGAATGGATGATTTTTTATTATTATTTTTTTTTATCATGATTTCGAGCAAAAGATTATTTATCGAATCTATATTATTCTTTGGCTAGGATTTGAAAGACCGATATTATTCAGTATGTAAAAAACTTCTACAAGTTCGCCCCCCTGAGGGTAGTGATAAAGGTGCTTTGATCGCAATGAATACTTATGACAAAGGTAGGGTAAAATTTTTTATTTATTCCTAATATTATGTAATTTTCATTCCTAATTACTAATTAAATGTAAATTTTTTCCGAATATATTAAAATAGCC